ATCTTGAATTTCCTGTTTTTTTACCAATTCTGTAGCTTTGCGGTTCACAGTTTCTCTCATGCTTTCAATAATAAATTTTTATGACATGTTAAAACACAAGTATCATTTACTCTCCAGTAATAAGGTTAAAAACAAGTTTTCCTACTTGTCACACACAAGATAATTTAGCAGGTGTTTGTGGGGGTCCGCCCTTACACTTTGGATGGTCTAAAACTTGTCAGATGTTGGGAGAAGACTGTGATTTAACAAGGTGCTCTCCATGCAAGTCACTCTGGCTCAGCTATTTAAATATTTCACATGCACCTATAAGCTCCTCCTTCACCTTATTGACAAAGCAAACATAAGAAGACATGCATCTTGACCAAAGGAATCTCTTCCCTTCAAACATAGGCATCCCATCAAAGAGGTTCTTGGCCTACGCCGCTCTTCAGATGTTAGTATCTGGCTACCAGCTGGCCCAATCAACCTTATTTAAAAATTTCCAAACTGAACGCATGGGGTTGGGGCGAATTGAATCTTTTTTTGATTTGCCGGCCCTGACCAAGCCTGACGTCTCCAGGTATGAGGAGAATGCTTCAGAGTTATATTGGCCAGAAAGGAAATTGACAAAGACAGACAAGCTGAAGAGATTGCAACCGATAATATCGGAAAACATAGGTGAGCCTCCTGATTGATATTTCATTTTATATATCTGCAGATTCATGATGCTTAAATCCCCCCTCTATTGAGAAACATGTAGCTGGAATTTCCGGCTTGAAAACAGGAAGCTGGGAGATCAGATGTGCGATCGGAGACCTTCAACCAAGATTTCGGAATCCTGAACTTGGAATGAGATTAGAAAATTTTGATCGTCAATTGAAGAAGCTAGTCCAAGAAAAATTGTTTGAGCTACATACTGGAAAACCTTTTGTTCTCGCAGTACCACGGCCTAAAAAGACAATCCGAATGCAACCTGAGAGCAGTCTGTTCAGCAAAGAAGAGAAAACGCTGGGGATAAAGCCTTTGAGTATTACATCAAGTGGAAAATACATGGCAAAACAGAATTGTATTGGATCAAAACAGAAGAGTTTCCAACACTTCTGCTGGAAAAATCTTAAAAAGCTAGGTCTCCCTGCACACCAAACAAAGCAAGGTTGGATTGAACTGTACGGAGATCCACTTCTAATTCTCAGAGAAAAGATTTTCAAAAAATTATACCTGTTGTGGGCAGATTTGGAAGTGGAGCTGCTCACATTTGAGGACAATGAGCTCACAGAATACGACCACATCAACCTGTTTTATTTCACAAAGGCAATGTTTCTTTTGGCTGAGTATATAATCAAGTTTGAATTACTGCCACCAAGTTTCACTGAAACAATGAAGATGTTTGAACCAACAATTCTTATGCGATTGATCAAATCTTATATTTCCACAGGAAACGGTCTTGCTAAAATGGTATCAAATTATCATTTTAATTCATTCATGCCCGGCATAGGTTTTTTGAAAACAAGCACATTCATGAAGCACTTCCGGAGAGCCATTGAAGGTAGGCTTTATCTTTTTTTACCAGATCAACTATGACATTTTTCAAATAGAACCTATAGATTCTTTCTTACCGACTAAATTTGCCATAAATTTCAGAAATACTTTCAAGTAGTGATCAAAATCTGCTTGTCTACCACTTGATCAAATCATTCATTCAACCTTCTCTCAAGAGAATTACTTACAAAACTTTGCCCAGAGATGAACAGTCTAGGAGGATTTGGAAAGGATTTTGCGCAGACACTTTCCTTCAGGACCTAGATGCTCTATCTTTGATATCAACAAGTAAAACCATAGATGAGAATGAAAGAACAGAGTTGATTCAAACTCACAAAATTGCCCCATTAATCCAGGAGATGATCACATACTTTGACAATCCTCCAGATTATTGCCAGGGATACAGTGACAAGTTTGAGATATATCACATCTTATCAATCATTGACTTTCTCAAGAGAAACTATAGGTCAATCATAGATGAGTTGACTCCTGAAACAATTGACAAGCCAGCCCTTAATAAGAAGATGGAATGCATAAATTACTTGGTCAATCACTTTGAACATCATCACAAGAAATACTCACATGGTGAACATCCACTTATGATTCATTTTCAGACAGAATCTGATAATGATGGGATTGACATCAGCAAGTGGATTGAAATTGTTGCAGAAAAAATGCAAGGATCTATGTATATCTCCTTCAAATACATTCCCATATAAACCCATACATTTTTTTTTCCATTCCACATCAGTTGTAAATCTTTGCTTTTTTAGAAAGGTTACAAAAAAGGGAAGATGACTGCTTTGCTAAGATCCCTAACCTTCCCAATTCTCAAAAGAGGTACTGACAACAAACGTTGAGTATCTGATGTTTATCAACATGAACTCAGCACCCATGAGCACCCTCTAACTCTGCATGGCACTTTAAGCCCATGTCAAGTGTACTGACCACTGTGTGATTGTCACTGAGATTTGATGATAGGATGTTAAAACTGAAGATCAGAAATTATAAATTGGCATAGGCATGTAACCATGGTGCATCACCGTACTGTGTACAATCACAGTCTCACAGACTATAGTCTATAGCTACATAATTAGGGATGGGTGCAGCCTCAGGGGGCCTGTTGGACTCAACTAAGGGCCCATTGGGCTGTCATATTTGGGCCGCTGAGCTGCCCAAAAGGGTCCTCAACCACCTCAATGCCAAGGGAGGCCTGGGTTGCCCATGGGCAGCCTGGCCCATTTCTTGACCCAAACCAGCGGTGGGCCGCTACGCTACACTACGCTACGGGCCCATGTAGCGTTAGCGTAGCGGCGCCAAATTTTTTTTTTTTCGTGTAGTGTTAGCGCGCCGCTACGGCCGCTGCGCTACGCTAACTTGTAGCGGCGCTAACACTAGCCATTTTTTGGTGTAGTGTTAGCGCCCCGCTGGCGCCGCTACACTGCGTTACGCTACGCCACAGCGTTTTTAGCGGCAAAAAACGCCAAAAAACCGCTAAAAACTGCTGTAGCGCAGCGTAGCGGGCGGTTTTTTGCGCCCTGTGCCCGTAGCGTTAGCGCAGATGGGGAGAATTGCGCTAACGCTACGCTGAACGTTAGCGCATTGTTTTGCCCCGTGCGCGTAGCGTTAGCGCTGAAAATGAAAAAAGCGCTAACACTACGCTACATTGTAGCGATTTTTCGCTACACTACGCTACGCTAACGCTACAGTTAGCGTAGCTGGCCCACCGTTGCCCAAACTGAGACTGTTGTGGATAAGATAACTTGAAAGTGGATGTCATCTGGGTCAACCTCCAAGTGTTCCAGGACTTGAGCTCCACCAAGAGATAAGAAAGAGAGAGAGAGAAAGAGGGGCAATGAGAAAGATCTTAAGTCTAAAAGGGCTATCAAGATCATGCAAAAAGAATGAACCAATGATTTACATTTTTCTTGCAGCTGGAAGCAGCTGAATTAGATTAACTGGATACAACCAATGGTGCAACAGATACGAGACATGTATTTGTATCACATTGTATCTTCTTTATTCTGAGCCTGATACTGGTATCAATATTTTCTTGGTTGGTGAGAAAATCCATTGTCTTGTATTTGGATTTACAAATGAAAAAAAAAAATTGTGTTCTTTTTTTTTTCTTCAATATGGCCAAATATCTTGTGTATCAAATAT